CCAATTTCAAATATTCACCCACTTTTCAAATCGGCCCCATGATCATGAATTTGAGCCAATAACCAATTTGGCAACAATATAGCACAATCAATTTAATAAATATCCTCAGTCTACTCTTTTCCTAATGGGCCATTACATTGTTCCTAATTGATGTCTATCCCCTTCCCAAGACAAAGGCTCTGCCTTAGCTGGCATAAAGCTCACACTTGTAACCCTAGCACTCTGAGGCTGAGACAGGAGAATAGATACAAGTTCCTAGTCAGTCAGAGCTATAAGAGACCCTGTCTCAACCTAAAGGAGGTTTATGGGGAAGATTAGAGCTGTTATCTCAATTGGTAGAGTGCTTGCCTAACATTCACAAAGTCCCGGACCAGGCAAAATGGCACATACCTGTGATCCCAGCACTCAAGAAACAGAAGGATCAGAATTTCTAAGTCTAAGCAACATAGCAAATTCAAGCCCAGATTGGGTGAGCTAAGTGAGATCCTTTCTCAAAAAATAAGTTCTCTCTTCTATAGACAAAACTATTTTATCTAAATCTGTCTGCTGTTGGCCAACACGAAAAAGATAGGAAGCTTAGGGATGTGGTCTGGTTGAATAATACCAGGTCAACATTAACAATCATTTGACGATTTCAAGTCAACGGAGACTGCCTCATATGTATATTGCTCAGGTCAAAGAAAGAAGCAAGGGCAGGACAGGCTCTTACTCCTTGACAGGACAATTGGGATGGCCTTAAAGCTGTACTTTAGAAACAACATGTGTGGTTCTGAAAGGGCTGGGGATGTGGCTCAGTGGAACACCACTTGTTTAGATTGTACAAGACCCTGGATTTGACCTTGCCAGCACTGTGAAACAAGAGGGGAAGTGGCGGAACATCTCATCTTTCTCAAGTTCTCCCCAAAAGCCAGGTTTGGATCTCACTTCATTAAAGATGAGAGGAGTGTGTCTGGCCATATTTGGCAAGCTGGAGTTGAACTCTTGGACTCAAACGATCTTTCTGCCCCACCAACTCTCCTAACCCCAAGCTGGAACTACAGGAACATCCCACCACTAAATGCATCACCATTTTGGATGGCTTTTTCTTCCCTTGTAAAATCATGTTACTGCCATGTTTGTTTTTGTAGGATTCAAACTGTGCACACAAGTCTCTAGATCAGCAAACTTAACACAGCATCTGGAATGTTCTCCTGAATGAAAAACCCTTGCCTGTGTGAGCCCACAAGTCTAACCAGAAAACACAACTGCTTAAAGGTAAGACAGACTGCTTTCTTTCTTTCTCTGCTCGGCTGCCAAGTCTTATCCTATGTTTTAAAACATAAGATTTTGTTTGGTCACATGAAAATGTCCAAAATAGTCAATGCTATAATTAGCCCAAGCTGAGTCTCATCTCCCAAAGTCACTACCGGTGTCGTCATCTTTTATTCTTTCTTTAGAAAACCCTTCCTTTCCTTTTGTGTCAAGACAGGCTTCCTCCTCAAATGCCCCTTACAAAGAAAATCTCCCTGGCTGACTGCCATGGATTTCTCTGGCCATTTCCATTTTAAGTAATTTTTCTGTCTCACTCTCTTCTAGAACAAAGGCAGAAGAAGGCAAAACTTGCTGGTTTATTTTTAAAGAAAACTTCACTTCAAGCTGTTATAAGCTAGCAAGAGGCTTTATGCAGTCACATGATTCCAATACTCTGCATCTGATAAGGGCTCACAGATGATTCCTGTGCAAATCTCCACCTCAGACCAGTTTCCCATGAGCCACAGGAAGCAGCTTCCAACTGTACAGTGTTTGTCAAGGCTTACCCCACAGCAGGTTCCCATTTCTACCCAGAGGGCGCCTCCAAGTCCTTCAGCTCTTACCAGTTATGTAAAAACAGCAGTGCTGCCTTTTTCTCAAGGCAGCTAATAGTAATGAATTCAACAGGAAGTGGTGGAGTGGTGTGTGTGTGTGTGTGTGTGTGTACACATACGCATGCGCTCGAGGTAGGGCCTCTTGCTGCAGCCTAGTTATTTATGGAAAGGAAAATTTTTCAGTCTAATGCTTACATGTTTTCCCCAAATCAATAAACTAATAAAGCAAATCATTTCTAATCTTTCTCAAAGCCGTACAACTATTTAAGTTGTACAAAAGCTGGAAAAAGAAGGAAAGGGAGATGAAAAAGAACAAAGTGTTAATGAAGTATATATGAAGATGCCGTGACACACTTTACTTTGTATGCTAACTTATTAATAAAATTAAAGCTTAGAAGAACTGAGATAATATTAAATCCAGACTTCAAATGAATTTAAAAAAATCTTTTTAGGATATTCCTCTCTTGAAGCCCTTCCTACTCTTGGGGGTTCTGACTTCTTAATAAATCTATATTCTTTAAAAAAAAAAAGTTTCATGTTAGGTCAGTCAAGATGTCAAAGGTTGTGGAGCCGAAGTAGCCACAGAGAGCTACACTCTTTCAGGTTAGCCGTAGGTTTTCTTTACCTGGGTAGTAACATCCCAGATAAATGACAATCTCAGCATGGAGGGATAGGGCAGATAGAGGGGGACACTGAGGTAGGAGGCTGTGAGTTTGAGGCCAGCCAAGGGTACAACCTGAGTTCTGGGCCTGAGCTACAGAGCAAGAAAATGGTTCTCTCTTAACACTGGAGAATGGTCACTTCCTCCTTATTTGCTTTTAGTTAAAAATCACTGCCAAAAAGAAAATAGATTAGGATCAATACCAGATGTGCTATGAATTGCCAGAAAACTGTGAGTGTGGAGTCACAAAGCTTGGTGTAAAACATGGAATACACTTGCATAACCTGCTGTCCTCAATGTGCCTGGCACCACAGACAACTGTGTAGCTTGCTGAGAGCAATAGGGTTCACCTGGCCCAACAAGGCTTCACTGAGCCCTCGGGTACACATCCTCTGAATTTAACTATCCTATCTTCAAGAAATGATTCAAGCTGGGTGTAGTGGTGCACACCTTTAATTCCAGTACTAGGGAGACTGACGCAGGCAGATCTCTGTAAGTATGAGTTCTAGGACAGCCAGAACTATATAGTCAGACCCAAGCTCAAAAAGCAAAAAACAAAACCAGAAAGAAAAATGACTTATTTGACTTATTCATTAGATATATATGGAGAAATATCTAGCTCATAACACTATTCTGTATAAAACTATTCTCCTCTCTCTCTCTCTCTCTCTCTCTCTCTCTCTCTCTCTCTCTCTCTC